TATATATATATACTATATATATATATATAATATATATATATATATATATATATATATATATATATATATATATAATATATATATATATATATATATATATATATATCGATATAGATATATAGATATATATAATGGATAACGTGTGAAGGTGGTATGGCATAAGAGATTGATGCAACGTTTATACGGTTGCGATAAGTTATCAAAGTGAGGCTTGAAAAATTGTTTTGTGAATTACAAGCCGAAGCGCGTTGTACAATGGTACAAGGCGAGATGGTATATCCATAATTTCGACATGGGAGATGGGCAATGGGATGGGACAGGCGAGTTGACTGGGTGGGCACACGTGCATTGCTTTGTGCTGTATCACGAGGGCGTCTAGAGTATGGGTGTCTATTAGCATATAGAAAGGGCAGGTTCTGTGTCCGTGCGCGTACGAGAAGGTTCGGTGGGGTTAGTTATATTGTCCAGCGTGGGTAACAATGTGAAGCAAGGAAGTAGAAGCTATCCGAAGCAGAGCAGGAACACACAAATATTCGTGGAATGTGTGAGTGTGCCAAATCGAGCGAGTTGAAAATCAAAGCAGCGTACGTAATTGCGGTCAAGTTCAAGGTTGCTAGCGAGTTTGTGGCCAATAAACGTGTCCGACAACCTTCCTTCGCGGAAACGGGTGCAGATCGATGAAAAATCCAACGATAAACCTCTACAATAGTTTTGCAAAAGTAGATCCCTTCATCCAGAATTGAATATGTCTAATCAAACAGAAACAAGAAGTGTACCTAATAACCAATGAAACCTTAATGTGTGCGTAATTAAGAAAAATATACCACGATGCACAAATACAACCGACGCAATTCGCTACAGTCTCAAACGGAATTGTGCTCACAACATGCTCGTGTATTTCACTAGCGCTATCTCCATATACACAAACCTACCATCTCTAGGTGCTACCAACAACTCATCTATAACTGTACTGCTCAAAAACACACATACCGGCCTAATCGCTTGCGTGTAGCCTTGTTGTTCACATAGCACAGCTCCACAGCCATCTTGTCCACTGCTTCCCGATTCATTGCGTTTGGTAACTGCTCAAATAGTGCCTCCAGCTTGAGCTTCATGGCTAACGGTGTGTTGGCATCCTCCTCAACCTCCTCATCGCTTGCCTCGGCTACGAACGTATCGGTCTCCTTCTCGTCGTTGTCATCTGTTGGCGTATGTATGTGTGTGTGAATATATGTGCATAGGAAGCATAGACATGTTTCGAGAGCGACTTGCACACCCTTTCTGTTGCAAAATCATAAGGTATAAATAACAACGTACTTCCAAACTTCTCACAGGAAAATACATCAATTACAAGTCAGGCGACACCTCAACGATTAGGAGCGCGCATGGATCATATCCAGAGTCGATCACTTCATAGCTCTCTCGCGTCCATACCAGCGCAACACTCCCATAACCCGGCGAGCACACACTCTAAACTATACATACAAAGGTGAGAATATCTACTACACACAAGCATATGGAAATACGCACATGCATACACACCTTGTTCTTCGCCCGCAGCGAATGCGTCGTCCTTGGAATCACCCAATGCCTCGTCAGTAGTGCTGTATGTGGGCGTGTCTTCGTCCTCCATCGGAATGTCTAGTTCTTCCTGGGCCGCCAGTCCCTCGAGACTCTCTTGTTCAGCTGCTGGGTATGGCCAAGACACTCAACATTGTTAGTCATAGGTCTACTTCCCCGCATGTATATTGTGGATTAATTTAGAGGGACTTGTTCTTGACTCAAGTACACTCAGTCCTGACAATTTGAAAAAACACCGTCCTCGCGCCCTTCCATCTACATGCACACATTCACAAACCGCTTGTGTATATACAAGTACATCCATACAACATACTGGGGTGAACACCCACACATATATATACCATCGCTCTAAGACATGCGTACACACGCCAATAAATTGTGTATACACGCACATACATACCGCCTGCTTGTACGAAACACACACATACATATCATTGACTGAACTTTGCCGCAACCTTGTTATACGCGAATATACAACATCGATTTGTAGATATACATGCACATACAACACCCAAGCGTACACACACACCATCTACCGAACTCTGCTGTAATCTTATACCATATGCACATACAATACCGAATTGTGCAACCATAAAAGCGTGTGTACACGATTTCTCATATATTGCCTGCTTATGTACCAGCATACATATACATACCATCGACTGGAACCTCAGCCGTACCCTCTCCACCACCGTCGATTTCCCCTAACAGTACAGCAGGTACCACATCTCTGAGCTGCACTAGATCTTCGTAGAATGCGCGCGTGTCATCGTCTTCCCATAATTGGCCTTCGCCCACTTCTCCTTCCATATAACCCCTGCCTCCCACAGATATGCCCACATCTGGCAGTGAAGGCACAACAACAGAAGAAAAATAGAGGTCAGTTTCTCAGGAGCATATCCCACGGGCATATTAGCACAGTAATCGCAAAAGTACAACGAGGAAGAGTTTTACGAGAGAGTGTTTGTGTGTATGCATGGCGCACTCGTCAAAATACGATTATTAGAGTATGGCGAACAGAAGAATTGATGCACTGAAGCCGTAATTCGTACAAAAGTTAGATATATTTTTATGCTTAGATCCTTGCAATGCACTCCATTCGAGTTGACTTATCACGGTAGAGGTACGAAATACATGCACCATGTACTAATGAGGCGTTGAAAGTCAGTTACGAGCTATATTTACGGTTCGAATACATCCGATACAGTAGAATCACTTATCACAGGCCAGCCTCATTCATCGTACAAGGTAGAATAATACTAGTGTACATGCACTTGCGCCTAGAATCATCCACATTTCAACAACTTCTGCTTATGTCAGCTCCACCAAGCCACATACACAGAGGAGAGCTCACAAGACGATCGTTTCAGACATATATATATATATATATATACACACACACACATATATATATATATATATATATATACTCAAAGGACACCATATCCGCACATGATTGCGTGTGTGCGTGTTCTTACAAGACACCCCTTCCACTTATGTGTTTATGCATGTGTGTACATACTCAGGGTGCGATCCAGCGCCTCTCTCTTGGGCAAGTCTGGGTAGTCCTGATCAAGTAGGTCGGCGAGTGTGGCTGTGCCGGCGGCCAGTTTTTCGTAAGCCTTCAATTTTTCATCATAAGACGTCTATACGTGAATGAAGGAAGGATATACGTTACTTCATGCGTGGTCAGATATACAAGCCAACACGAAGGCATCGCGTAAAAAAAAAACAAACTATGACAGACAACATTTCAGTCTCTAGATTAGCAAAAATAATAATCCCCCAATAGCTAGCGAAGTACCCTCTTTGCAATAATATCTAATGCCTCGTATTCTGCGCCCTTGATGAAAATTGCGCCTTCATATTTATAGCCTGATACGCCATATTTTCTGCTTGACCACATATTAATATACTACACGAACAGGCGAAAGGATATCTCATGCCATAGTATGCAGTACCTGTCGGGTGGCTGAGAGTTCGCCCTTGTCCAACACAATGCGTTCATTAGTATTCTCCCACTGATTGATCTCTCCGTGGTCGCGCACTAGGCGGCGCGATAGGGTGGAGTAGTAGCCTTCACAGAAATACGTCATTTTCTTCTCTTCATCTGCTGCGAGAATCTGAAAGCACGTCCCAACAGCCGCATATTGTGAATGGAAAAGAAGTCACTTCAATCTGGGCTTGCACTCAAAGTCTTTGGATGAATGAATTGTGTGAGAGTTGCAGTTGCACACCGTCAATATGATGAACGGATCTCGGCTATAAGTGTACCAACAAATAAACCAGGTGGTCAATGCTGCCGCAGCTAGAGGTCATACAAGCCGTGAAGGAATATTCAAAGCGGATCGCCTACGTAGAGACAAATGATGAAAAGCGCCACAGAACCAAAAACCACTGCAAGTGTATATATCCTACTAGCCGACACTAGAGGTAGACTGCGAGCTAGTACAGTTTGTGCACGAGACCAGTCAAACAATATCTGATAACTATTCTCCAATCGTTTCCACTTCGTGCGAGCCCTATAATACATCACTCTGCCTGAGAATATCGTGTCTATCTCACTGCGAAGACTGCTCAGGCAAAGTACCCTCACAAACAAGTTGATAGACATGATCCATCATAAGCAAATATTATTTTAAGAAATTGAAATATTTTGTAGCATATGCCTGCATAATATATAGGCTCGTAAATATCCGGGAGACTTCTCAGCATGTCCATAGCGGATGCCAAGTAAAACTATAATGGAATTTAAGCACGCATAAGAAATACATCCGAGCATGTACTGGTCGTGAGATTTATCGTAATCTCGATTTGAAGGCAAGCCATCAGGGTGTCA